CGTGTTGTGGAAGGAACAATCACACATTCTCACAATGCAGGTACAAGGAGTATTCGTGCAACATATGTAAAAAGGTTGGTCATTTATCTTATGTTTGTAGAAATAAGAAACCAAAGAAAATAAATTATATGTCTGAGGTGAAAGTAAGCAATAGCAAAGAAAGTGATGATAGTATGGATGAGTTAGCCGAAAGTTTTAATAAACTATATCATATTAAAAATATTGACAAGGTAGATAAGGGAACAGGTCCCATTAAATTGAAGGTCTTGGTGGAAAANCAGATAAGGGAACAGGTCCCATTAAGTTGTAGGTCTTGGTGGAAAACAAATTGATAGAGATGGAACTGGATACAGGAGCTTCAGTCTCCATCATATCTGAAAAAGACTATAATGAAAATTTTTAAAAAATTAAGGTTAAAAACAATGGATTCAATATTACACTAAAGAAACAGTCGAAACATTAGGATATATTAATGTTGAAGTGAAATATAATAATAGAAATTTCAAAGGTAACTGGTATATTATAAAAGGAACTGGTCCAATGTTAATAGGTAGAGAATGGATACAAAAAATGGGTGTTTTACCAGAAAGTCAATCAAATGTAACTAAATTACAAAATATATTTAATGTATCAGATATTAAATATATTAATATGGAACAACAATTATTTAATAAATACCCAGAGGTATTTACAGACAAATTAGGACTGTACAATGGAGAAAAAATAAAGATTTTATTACAAAAAAATGTGACACCTAAATTTTTACAACATAGAGCTGTACCACTAGCATTAAAAAACAAAATTGAACTTGAATTAGACAGATTGGAAAAAGAGGGTATAATCAATAAAGTCAAATATAGTGATTGGGGAACACCAATAGTACCAATAGTTAAACCATCAGGTGATATAAGAATATGTGGAGATTATAAAGTAACTGTAAATCCATATATAAAAGTAGAAAGAGCCCCTGTTCCAATTATAGAAGAGTTAATGGTTGGAATTAAAACGGGAGGGAAGTTTTCGATCATAGATCTAAGCCAAGCATACTTACAATTCANAAACGGTAGGGAAGTTTTCGATCATAGATCTAAGCCAAGCATACTTACAATTTAGTTTATAAGAAAAATCAAAGGAGTTAACGACCATAAGCACGCATAAAGGTGTTTATGTGTACAACAGAGTTCCATTTGGTATAAATGCATCAGTTGGAATATTTTTAATTAGATTTAGTGAAAAGCTTAAACACATTAATAACATTAAAATATATTTTGATGAAATATTAATATTTGGTAATAATGAGCAAGAACATTTGAAAGCCCTAGAGGAAGTATTAACTTTATTAAAGAAGATGAATTTAACAGTACGGAAGGAAAAATGTATCTTATTCAAAGAACAAATTAAATTTTTAGGCTATATCATCAACAAAGACGGGTGCAAGCAAGATCCAGCTAAGATCAAAGCTATTACACAAATTCCAAATCCAAAAAACAAAAAACATTTGCAAGCTTTTTTTGGATTGATTAACTATTATAGGAAGTTTATACCTAACTTAGCAACCATTCAAGCACCACTTACCAATTTATTGAGAAAAAATACCAAATTTAATTTTAATAATAACTGTGTGAAGGCGTTCAATCAAATCAAAGAAGAGATAACATCAGACAGGGTCCTAAAGCATTTTGATCCAAAACTACCAATTATATTAACGTGTGACGCATCAACTTATGGACTTGGCGCTATATTATCACAAGTCAATGAAAAACAACAAGAGCACCCTATAGCGTTTGCTTCAAGAACTNTCCTATAGCATTTGCTTCAAGAACTCTTAATATTGCTGAGAAAAATTATAGCCAAATAGATAAAGAAGCCTTAGCAATTATATTTGGTATCCACAAATTTAACAATTTTGTATATGGAAATAAATTTACAATAAGATGTGATTGTAAACCGTTAATCAGCATTTTTGGATCTAAAAAAGGAATTCCAACAACGACAGCATCGAGACTACAAAGGTATGCTTTATTCTTAACAAATTATGATTTTGATATACGGTTCACCAAATCTGCAAGCAACAGTGCTGACGTCTTATCCAGANTACAAGCAACAGTGCGGATGTCTTATCCAGAATGCCACTCAAAGTAGAAAAAGCAAATACACCAGAAATAACATACTTGCACCATATAGATGAAATGAGAATCATGGATGCTGCTTTAGTGAAGACAGAAACATCGGGTGAAGACCCGATATTAAGTAAGGTAAAATACTATATACAATATGGTTGGCCTGAACAAGTGCAAAAAGAATTAGAACCATTTAAACTAAGAAAAGAATTATTAAACTTGGAGCAAGAAATCATTATATGGGGTCACAGAGTAGTAATACCAGAGACACTCAGAGATAAAATGCTAAAGGAACTCCATCAAAATCATTTAGGCATAGTTAAAATGAAGTCTATTTCAAGAATGCACATATGGTGGCCTGGCATCGATAAAGACATTGAGAGCACAGCAGGAAAATGTGGAAAATGCATGAATGTGAGATCAATGCCTAAAAAAACATCTCTACATACATGGGAATGGCCAGAAAGACCTTGGCAAAGGTTACATGCTGATTTTTTAGGACCATTTAAGGGTAGCTTATTTTTAGTTATTGAAGATGCATACTCAAAATGGATAGAAGTATTTCAAGTACCATCAACAGCAGCTCAATATACCATCAACAAGTTTAGAGAGCTATTCGCTAGATTTGGTATAGCAGAATATTTAGTTACAGACAATGGACCACCATTTTTATCTTTAGAGTTTAAAGAATTTTTAGCTAAAAATGGTATTAAACAAAGAACATCATCACCATACCATCCACAAAGTAACGGCCAAGCAGAAAGTGGAGTTAAAATTATTAAATCATTTCTTAAAAAAATATCTTTTAAAAATGTTAATCTACAATTAAATCAATTTTTATTTGACTATAGAATTGCAATGCATACTACAACAAAAGAAAGTCCTGCTACATTATTATTTGGAAGGAACCTTCGTAACAGGTTTGATTTAATTAAACCTAATATTCGAAGTACAGTATGGGAAAATCAAGAAAAACAAAAGACCAATAAAACAGTTAGACATTTTGATATTAATGAAAAAGTTCTAGTAAGGAAATATACAGGAGAGAAATGGACAAAAGGAAAAATTATAAAAATATTGGGAAATGTCATGTATCTTGTGGAACTACCAAGTGGTGTTATTTAGAAGAGACATGCCAACCAAATTCAGAAAGTTAAATATGAGATTGAAGAGGAAGATGCAGAAGAAGTAGAAGAAGAAAAATTAGCAAAAGAAGTAGAAGAAGAAAAATTAGCAAAAGAAGTAGAAGAAGAAAAATTAGCAAAAGAAGTTAAAGAAGAAAAAATAGCAGAAGAAGTAAAAGAAGATAAAATAACAAAAGAGGAAACGGTTGAAACTACAAAAGAGCAGAGCACTATAAGAGAAAACAATTCAACAAAAATATACAAAATCATAGATGTTCAAGTAGACCAAAGAAACCTATATATATATATTTAACTTTCTGAATTTGGTTGGCATGTCTCTTCCAAGTAACACCACTTGGTAGTTCCACAAGATACATGACATTTCCCAATATNTGTGTTAATTAGTATTTTTATATATATTGTTTTAAGAGAGGAAGTGTTGTGTTGTACTATGTGGCAACACTGTTTTCTTTGTTATAACCTAACCAACATTATTACACATTATGTTTTATATTTAATATGTTATGTTTTATTGTAATTTAAAGTGCTTAATGCAAATAAAGAGATACATAACAAAAAGAACTCGTTTAGATGTGGAAAATGGCTTTTTATAGTGTGAAGGGGGTAGCCCAGCGATCTCTACCGTGATCCTAGAAGCTATGTCTTTGTATTCTAATTGGTTAATTAAAATGGGGTCCCAGCGTGTAGGCGTTACTTAATAATTTCTACAAGAGGGAGATTTTATCGTATAGTTAAAGGGTTATTTTGTATTTTAAATAAGAGAACCCTGTTTTGGTGATCTTGTATAATCATAATATGTGACATACATGAACAAATGATAACATCATATTATATATTAATATTATATGTAATAATATAATATACACATAATTAATAAATTGAGAAAAATACGTATTTAACAAAAGTCAAAATAAATTTATTTTTACTTTTATTTTTGTTTTCGATTAATTAGGTAGATAATTAATAAATTTTAAAAAATCACACTGCATTTAACTTTTTTTGAAATTTTTAATTTCAATGGAGTAACGAAAATGAAAATTAAATGTGGTTTTTTTATCGATATTTTTCTTCATAGAAAAAAAAGTTCTCACAAATATGAAATATTCTTAAAATATGTTAAAATTAGATTTCAAGTACTTACTGTTAAAATACATTTATAACTGTAAATTTTAAATAATTGCAAATAATTAATTTTGTAAAAAAAATTTTACTAAGCAAAAAACTCATCAATTTTAACTAAACAAACAGAGCTAAATTATCATTCATATTTTTTGTGTTACACAATGATATCATCTATTTATTTTAATCAAAATACAATTTCTCACGTAGTTTTTAAAATAATGATAAATTTAAGTATTTAAGTAAATTTATTAGTTATTTAATACACTTTTGCAGTAATTATCAGTGATAATTAACAAGGTAATTATATTATATTATGTATATTATTTTTTTTTTGTATTTTTTTATGTAAGATTCAAAAATATTATTTTTCAAAACGTTAAATAATTTTATGTTTAATTATTTTTTAATAAATAATGTTTCATACAATTTTTACTTTTTTTGAATGTTAGTCATATCATTTGTAATTGTTCTTAAAATAACACGCTCAGAAACAGATTTTTTTATATTCTAACTAGATTTTAATTAAACGAATTTTATATGATTTTATTTTTACAGTTAAACATCTAATTATTTTAATGGCAAATAAATTACTATCTGTATTTTTTAATTCCAGAAAATCAATTGGTACTATTAAAAAAACCCAGCACAGGGGGCCACGACACAGTGGTGACGTGGCATAGTTGAATCAAGTAAAACGATATCTGACAGTGATTAAAATAACTATCATAAGAAACGCTTCGATGCAAATTTTTAGATAGTGTTTAATTTAAAAAAAATTTGTGGATTATAACGAAAGCTACAAGATCTGCTATTCCTTATATATATACTAATTAAGATAAAGTATGTCGAATGACAAAGGGATATAAATATTATTTCCCATAAAAAAATTGTGTTAATTCATAGACTTTTCAATAAGTTATAGCAATTTAAAGTTAAAAATGTAAAAATTAAATTTAGAATTTTCACACAGAAATAACATTCAGTAACCATTTTCACTGTGAAGACAAAATAATGTTCTAATTTTTTTTTTCCATAATAAAGTATATTACTTTATTATGCAAAAGTTATGTTGAAAAAGTTAATTTTTTGTGAAAATGCTGTTATTTTAAATCCCCCCTGTGGGCAGGTCAGATTTATAAAAAAAAGTATATTAAATGACAGGTAAAGACGTCATGCATCAATAAAAAAAAAAATATATATATTAATTTGTTCATTTTTAAGAAAGTTATGGAAGTTATATATAATTTTACATCATAGTAAAACCAATATGTTCTCAACTTCGCATCAAAGATAAAATGTATGTTTTAAAATAAATTTTAAATAATTTATAGGAAAACAAAAATTATAATTTATTTAACAAAAAAAAAGACTATATACTCATAAAATCTATGATTTTAGCTTCAATGCGAAGCTGAGAAGGTATTAATTTTACTATGATGACTATGATAACTTTTAAGTGTTCCGGAAATACTGACACTTTTATATATATCTTAAATTAAAGCTTGTGTAATACACTTTAATATTAAAAAAAAAACATTTCTACTGTATTCAAAAATATGCTATTTTTGTGTTAAAATTCTTGGTTTTGTATTTCATTTTATTATAAGGGGATTACACTGATTTTCATAAATATTATATCGATCTAAATGACATAGTATAAAAAATTAAGCATATTTAAATTTTTTTGTTTCTTTGAAGTCGAGAAAAATAATTTTAAAATTTGAACTAGCTAAATTTCCATTTTTACTGAGTGACGAATGGGACGTACGGTTTCTGAGAAGGTAACACTTGGGTCTTTCACGTCTGTGGCACTGAATTTTTTCTTAATTCTTTTTGAGTTAGAAAAAAATGTTAAACTCATTTGATTTTTAACTCATTTAGATTCAATAGCTTCAATAAATATCAAGGATCCCATTACTGTAGTCTCCTCTCGTGAGAAGAAATTCATATTAATATTATTTTACTATGTGGTTTTTTTTTTGTAGCTATCATTTATTTTCTACCTACTTTTTTCACAAATTTTTTTTTAAAATTAAACACTATCTATAGATTTGCATCGAAGCGTTTTTTATAATAGTGATTTTAATCACTGTCAGATATCATCTATACTGGACCCAACTATGCCACGAACCCACTGTGCCTCCACCGCACTATGCTGGTTTTTTTTTTTTTTGTGTCTGTTACCTCTTTTTCTCAGTTCTCACCGAACCGATTTCTTTCAACGATACGTCAAAAGATCACAAATCGTATTTAGTCAAAGTCATTACCCTTAAAAATTGAAAAAAATTCACTCGTTCCCTGTAAATAGGGGAAATCTTCAAAAAAATTACAAATTTAAAATCGCTAATTTTTGACATTTTTTCAATATTTTTTACTAAAAACTGTCATAACTTTTTTAAAATAACTAAATTAATATAATTTTTTTTTTTGTAGTTACATTATGTCTATTTCGATCATTTGGTATATTTTTTTAATAAATCTGACTCTTCATCTGCCCACATGGGGGTTCAAAATGACAACCTTTTCACAAAAAATTAACTTTTTCAACTAAACTTTTGAAACTGTTCCGGAAAGTCTAACACTTTTATACTTAATCATAATCAGGATATAAATAAGGAAATAGTAGATCATGTATCTTTTGGAATAGTCCACCTAATTTTTTAAATTAAATACTATCAAAAGATTTGCATCGAAGCGTTTTTTTTTATAGTGATTTTAATCAACGTCAGATATCATTAAACTAGACCCAATAATGCCACATCACCATAGAGCCGCGATCTCCATGTGCTGGGTTTTTATGTTTACTATCCATTTATACCTTTTTTAAAAAATTTTGCTTTCCTCTCTCCACCCTTTAAAAAAATAACAACTTCAGTTTTTTCAAGTATAAACATATATATTTAAATAGTTTAGAAATAAAAAAATTACTGGTCAATAACAACTTCTAAACCAGTATATTTAAAAGTATTAGCTCTTTAAACAAGGGTGGGAGGAGTAGTGAGTTTATATACAGAATGTTGACTTAATCAATGTTACGTGTATTATAGTGATATAAGTAGGACCTAAAAATAGCGAAATCAAAAACTAAAATTTCCTATCTCCAAAATTGTTGGTTTTTCGGTTCCCTAACTTCAATTTTTAATTAAAAATTTATGTACAAATTCAGTAGTCCTCCCCCAAATTTGGGATCAAAGTTGGAAAAATATCTCACTTGAGTGTGACCCATCAATTTGTATTTAAATTTCAATGGGAGTACCATGATGTAGATTATTTTTAGTTTAAATGGTTACATAATAAAAAAAAAAATCCATGGATAATAACATTTTTTTATTGTCATGAGTTTATTTCGTCTTTCATTATTTTTTCAAACTAATTATAATTTTAAATAAATATTAACAAGCTCAGTGAGATATACCGTATTTTGTGCAGGTTACGCCAAAATAATTATTTATAATTATCCTATTGTAATTAAGTTTAAAAAATCCAGCACAGGGGAGTCGCGGCACAGTGGTGACGTGGCATAGTTGGATCAAGTATAATGATATATGACAGTGATTAAAATAACTATCATAAGAAACGCTTCGATGCAAATTTTTAGATAGTGTTTAATTTTATATTAATATATAAATATATAAATATTACATATTTATTTGGTTATTTTTAAAAAGTTATGGCAGTTTTTAGTAAAAAAAATTGAAAAAATGTCAAAAATTAGCGATTTTTTAATTTGTAATTTTTTTGAAGATTTCTCCTATTTACGGGGAACGAGTGAATTTTTTTCAATTTTTAAAGGTAATGACTTTGACTAAATACGATTTGTGATCTTTTGACGTATCGTTAAAAGAAATCGGTTCGGTGAGAGCTGAGAAAAAGAGGTAACAGACACAAAAAAATAAAACACATCATAGTAAAACCAATACCTTCTCAGCTTCGCATCGAAGCTAATATTCAGCTCAAAATATTCATTGCAACCTTGTGATTATTTTATTTTCCTAACTTAAAAAGAAATAAAATTATAATTTTAATATAGTTTTAATGGTAAAAATTAACCGTTCATATGTCAAGAAAATAGTTTTTATTACATAGTGATTGAGTATTGTAACTTACAAAGGTATTACTGTATCAAATATTAATTAGTTTTTTTATCATTATCTTGGAGTAGACGTATAACACAGTGTATCGCAAGCATGTTAATAAGCGAGTTATTATTCAAGGCTCAGGTAAACTGCAATAGACTATTGTGTGACAGGATCAGCACGACGCTGTCATGATGTCTGTAACGGACAGCCTGACACCAAATAACGACGAGCACATTGAGACACTTGGTTTTAAAACAAAATTACTCCTGAATTCCTGGTTCTATTTTTAATGTCTTCTAGGTTTACTCGTCGTGTAACTTGTTTTAATTTGTAAAAAACTTAATATTTTCATTATGAATTCCTGGTACCATATTCTTATTTTATGGATGACACCACATGACGAGAGTTCATTACATTGTCCATTATATTGCCTACACAGAATTCCTTACTTTATTTAGTTTATTCAAAAAACTAATCAATCCGTTATCGATTATTTCTTTATATAATTTATTACATTTATTAATTTTCACTTTTGAATATATTAAAGAAAGGGTGATATTAGTACACATAAAATGAAATTCATATGTATAAAATTACTTTAATGATAACGCTCCGACATATTTAACAGCGTTAAGTTGCAATATATATATACTAACAAGTAAATTGTAATATGCTTTAATTTGATATAAATTTAAATTAAGATTATCAAAAATTGAAAAATAAAAAATTTTGATATCACCATATCAATTTCAGTGGTTTTCAGTAAATATTTTAACAAGAGGTCTAAGTTTTTAATATCCTTATAATCTATTCTTACTAGCGTTAAGGTTATATTGATTTTACAGTAAAAAATGGTGGGGGTGTTACAAGCCTGTCAGCTATCCCTGTGTGTGTCACTAATCATATCATATAACTAATTAAAAATTTGTGTTTTTTTTTTTAGAAACAATTTTGTGATAAACATTACACAATATTAAAATAATATCAATTAAAATTATCTGTCATAAATAAGGTATTTTTAACTTAAACTTTAATTCACAGTACACTTTTCAAATTAACATTTAAAAACAACAATTTACGATTTTTTTTTTCAGCTTATAACCATAGTTAAAATGAAGATATTTTTTTTATTCACGTTTTATTTAATGGCAAGTATTTCCCCTTATCTATTTAAAAATCTTTGTACAAGCTGTATATACTACTAAAATAAGAATATAATTTTATTTAAAACAAATGATTTGAAAAAATTAATATCAAGTTCATACTAAATTTTTAGTTGAGCCTAAATGATTTAGACTACAATATATGGAATGATTTACCCAAAATTAACTTATATTTGTATATTATTCATAGTTTAAACAAAATTTTTTAACAAAGGTATAAATGGATAGTAAACATAAAAACCCACCACAGGGGGTCACAACACAGTGGTGACGTGCATAGTTATATTTAATAACTTATATTTAATAAGTAATAGTTTATAAATTAGTTAAATTAAGTAAATATATGTGTAATTGTGTATAACGAAATTTAAATCCATAAATTTGCATCCAATAATTTTCGAGGGGGTTATAAAACTTATTAGTCTTGACAATATTTTACAAAAATTAATTCAAAGGCCAGATACAAATGTAATTAGTATTACCCATTAAGTGGCAAACACCCTCTCTCTCCTAATTTAGTAAAACTTCTTTTATTTATATATTTTATTTACTAATAAATAAAATTTATATTAAATAATGGTTAAAATATTTTATAAATATATCTCTTTACATTCATGTCAATACAGTGAATTATTAATAGAAAAGCAATATTTTCCAAACTCTAAAAATATTATTATATAAAAGTATATACAATTTTTATATTTTCCATGGTACTAATTTAGAATTCGGAGGTAATGTAGTCCCTTTTAGTTGTATCAATGTTATATCACCAACATTCAGTGATATACATTTTGTATGGTGGGGGTACAGATAGATTGTAGAATCTTGAGTAGTGGGTAGATTCAACCTTTCACTATACACAATACTTTGATTTAATATCTAGGGAGGGGTGTTGAAACACCATGGACACCCTGCCGTAAATACGCCACTGTCAACATTGACATATTATGTTATCAATTTGTTTATACGACAACATATTCATTTAACTAGATTATTCAATAGAAAATAATCTAATTGAAAATATGAATGATCGAAGACAACTTTTGAACCAACATTTAAGATAACTATTACAATATAATGAAAATTGATCACTTGTGGCTAATATTATTAAAAATTAAAACTACATTAAATATATTAATTTTAAACTAAAAAAAATTAAAAATATTCAATTCAAAAAGCCGCAAAAAAAATAGAGGTTCCCTATAAAGAAATTAAAAACAGTCCATGTCTTTATAAATATTAATTATTTTTTATGTAGTTTTATATTTTGTTCCCTTAGCCAGTATTTAAAAAAACCAATGGTTATATTTATCGGAATACTAGGAGACAAGGCTAACTTGTCAAATGAAATTAACCTATCATTATTTTGAAAAGTATAACCAGATAATTTTTGTATTTAATCCCTTATCATCTTTTTAATGGATTCATTTAAACTATTTTATAGGGACCCTCTTGAATCATTTTTGATACACTATTAATGTAATCTTTTCTCAGCATTACTATGGCATTCCCCTTATCTGAATGTAAATAAAAACTGTTTTTATTTTTTAAGTGCTGTATGAACCACAGCTGGAAACACAAAAAGGGCAGCTTTAATAGTATGGTTTACAGATTAATTAAAATTTCAATGAATAAAATAGATTTTTATAAAGATCTGGAGGTTAAAAGAGAAATAGCCAGATTTAATTGTCATAATGAAAACGTAATCTCAAACTTATTTACATAGGACAAACAAAAACAAATTGGAGTTAAATTTAAAGAACAAGTAAACGTGTAAACGTTAAAGAAACATTAAAAATCAAGAAGTTGATAATCGTCACTAGGGGTATATAAGAGGTTATTTTTTCAGTCGGGGTGTCAGTATGTGTTTATTGTTGATAATGGTAACATTCTTTCAAAAATAGGTAACCTCGATTTTTTTTTTTAGTAATTGTTTTTGTGGCTTTTTAATTAAAAATATTTAATACTTTTTAGTTTTAAATTAATATTTTTAATTTTAAATAACTATTAGATTTTTAAAATATAGTGCAGGTTATAATTTTTTTTATCATTAGGCATTTATTGGACATGGTCCTTCCCTTCCCAAGTATAAAAATAACCTTAAAAAGATTATTTTTATAATTTTTGAATTTGAATTTTCTAGCATGTTAGTTGTAATAAACAAAAAAGAAAAAGAAAGAAAAGAAAAAAAAGGGTGATAGAAAATTAGAGAGAGAATATAAAAGAAATTAGGGGTACTACTTATTAAATTATTATAATCATTATTTGTTATAAGTTTTTGTAATTTTAATGTAGATTTAATTGTCTTCAATTTTATTTAAATTAATTTTTTCATTAATTATTTCTCTCATTAATTATTAATGGTTTATCACGCAATAGATTGTTGGAAGTTCGAAAGCATAGGTTAAATTGTACTTACCTTACGTCCTTTGTAATACAATAATATTTCAAGTAATCCTGTGTTGATTTCCGCATTAAACGTACTACGTATACGATTTACACTACACGTCATATAGTCTATGTAATTAATTATAAAAACGATTCAAGACTTTAAATAGTATGATTTAATTACACAAAGTCTAAGACTGATCTTACTTGTAAAAGATTCTAAACACTCTGTATTTTATTATAAATACAATTTTAATTTTTTTTTACTTATTGATTTTTTTACGTCTGTTGAATAAGTATTTTTTAGAGAGTATATTTTATTGAGAGATCGATACCAATATTTCTTAAATTTTCCTCTGGCCTGGCCAAAACAAGATTCAGAAATATCTATATCTATGTAAAAAATTTATCAAGGCAGAATTGTGGTGGCCCAATGTGTCCCGGTGCTAAAATAAAGCACCTTGAAAGGATGCGGCACAATAATCACCAAGACAAAAATTAAACACTAAAAATATATTTGTAAGTTTCTTTACGTTGTCTGCCGGCGCGATGTTTATTAAAACAAAGACATTAGCAACGAGACTAGCTACCCAATACGCATAGGCTTTCAAATATATTCTAACCTAATATACCTAATTCTAGAACAATGTCTAGTTGCAACCTTTACTCTGTCTGCCGGCGCGATGTTTGTTAAAACAAAGACATTAGTAACGAGACTAGCTACCCAATAAGAAAAGCTCACAATAAATTTTTATAATTAAATAAAAATCTAAAGTTAGGTTGGGTTTATTATTAAAATAAAATAATTTTAAAAAGATGTAATGTTTAAAATATTATTTGATATTTATTTCCACAAGAAAAATAAAATATTATTAATAATTGAACAAATTAAATTAAATAAAAAGATTCACCAAAACAAAATTCACTTTAAAATTTCTAAGTGTCATTTAGTTTTAAAGAAAAATATTCTAAGTTCAAATTAATTAAAAAAATCGACGAAGTCCCGTAGAGTGAAATCTTGAGTAGAGTGTCGTAGATTTTGTGTATTTTTAAAATCGCCAAAAGAACTGGTTTAGATAGGGAAAAATGGCTTTTTATAGTGTGAAGGGGGTAGCCCAGCGATCTCTACCGTAATCCTAGAAGCTGATGCTTTGTATTCTAATTGGTTAATTAAAATGGGGTCACAGCGTGTAGGCGTTACTTAATAATTTCTACAAGTGGGAGATTTTATCGTATAGTTAAAGGGTTATTTTATCTTTTAAATAAGAGAACCCTGTTTTGGTGATCCTGTATAATCATAATATGTGACATACATGAACAAATGATAACATCATATTATATATGTCGTAACACAGCAAAGATGGATTATGGTAAACGAGTGAAAGTGAAACTATGTGTACGAAGATGAATATGAGGAGGTGGTGCCTGCTGTCTAGGTATTCACGTGCGTGTTGTCGTACAGCAGTCACCGTGCTCGGCTGACACTCCGGGTTAGCTGTGGGTGTCGAAAGGCTGTTGTTATAGGAAGGGAGAATAAGAGTAACACCTAGGTATGAGGTGCAGACGAAGTGCAAGACACAAATACTGGGCGTACCAGGTGAGGAAAGATAACAGAGTACGAGGTGCAGACAAAGTGCTAGACACAAGTACTCTGAAATGTCGAGGAAAAGAGTATATAGGTTAGAAAAGGAATAAACAAAGACATTACTTTAAACAGTAAGCCGGACAGCGACAACCGAGTACTGAGACTGATGAATGACACAAGGCACTGGAGTCGACTGACCACGATGGTCAGGTCTATTGGGTTTTTATAATAATTACACCTATTGCCGATTTGGCAATAAATATTATTTGTTAATTCACCAGTCTCAGGCAGCGGATGTGCTGTCTGTATTTTATTAAAATAATTCTCACGATTATGAAAACGTGACACCATCACATATATTAATATTATATGTAATAATATAATATTACATAGTTATAGTTTACATTTAAGTACAGTTAGATATATATGTTCTTTTTTTCTGTTTTTATTAGTATTGTATACAATGAATTAAAATTAAAAAGCATGCATGAATGTATACGTATATGTATAAAATAAATTAAAATAGATATGTTTTCGTATAATAGATTATAGAAACTTCTCAGATGGATTGCTGTTGCGTAAGTAACATATGTTTCTATTTAAAAAAAATTAAGTGAATATCAAGCCTAAGAACAGTATAATTTAGGGGTTACCGTAGGATTTCGGTGTTCACTCTTTTTAAATTATCGGTTTCAGTGAGGTTTTGGTCTACCAATTTGTTGATATTGCAAAACAGGTTTTCGTTAATAACAATTTAATTAACAATTTAAATAACAACAGAAACACATTTTTAATTACTACTTAAAAAATAATTTTAAACAATCAAATATTGCTTTATAATTTTTTCAATTATACTTTTTCTAGCAAAATATTAATGTAAAATACAAATTTATGTTATGATTCATAAGTTTAATAAATTAATAAGAAATTTGAAAATATTGTTTGATTCAAAGCACTACAATAATATGTAGATAATTTTTTTTTTCATACTTTGAGAATAAAAATTAAAATTAAATTTTCTTTAATGGGAACCTCTATTGTATGATTAATATAATAGAAAAAACTTTTTAATAATTTTGTTGTTTTGTTATTTCTTGTTAAACTATTTTTAACCAATTTTCTATTGATAATTTGCTATTTAGCCTACAGTAGTATTCATTTATCACAGATACAACTCGGTATTTTTATTATACAAAAATTTTATCTTTTATCATTATTCATGTCAATTATATATATATTCTACGTAAGTTTACTGTCATAGATTGTTGAACGACCTGCGTAGAAATTTTATTTTTCATAACTACCATAAAAATAAATTATGGCACATTGAAACAGACTATTATTGATTCCGATGTTATGAAAACCAAATTAATGATGAATTTGTAGTTTAAACCCAAATTTTTAAATAATTTTAAATCGCAAATTAGAGTTGGAACTATGTCAATTAACTGGTAAAAATTTGGTCAATATTGCGTTATCATTTTTTGTTTGCTACTAATTTCTTAATACAATAAAAAAAGATTACAGTTATATTATAACTAACTGTTAAGTTTGTTGAATAAAAAGTTGAATGCATTAATAAACTTTTTATTCGATATTCATACTTTTTATTTAAACAGGGCAATCAAAGCAAAAAAGAATATGAAAATGCAGTAAATATATTGAAGAACTGTATTGATACTGTTTTTAAAAATATGCCAGATTATAAAAGTTAGTAAAATTTTATAATTGTAATTGCAGTATTATAAAAATAAGCAAATTAATGAAGTGTTATAAAACTTTACCTATTATGTGGAGTTTTAATGATATAAAAATTGAGTTTATTATAAAATTAATTTAACAATATTTAAAATAGCCCTGATTAACAAAAAAAAAAATTCCAGTTGCATGTATCTGAGAAGAAATTTCTAAGTATTTCATAGTTGCGATATAAATGATCTTAGAATTACCTATTAGCTTATTTTAGATAATCCATATATATTTTTTAGGGGTGCAAGCTTTTAAAGTTACCAAACTATTATAATAATTGTTTAAAATCGAAGAATAATATAGTACAGTATAATAGCTACAGTTATAAAGAATATAATACAATACTGAAATGTCTAATTCTTCAACCTAAATTAATTTTATATTGACGTAAGAATAAAAAAAATATGAATTTTAACAAAAATTATATATATTATATAACTGTGTTTTGTTATGTCAGTTTACTTCTATAAAAATTTGGTACAGATTTTAATACGTCTATGTAACATTAATTTAAGTTGAAGAATTGGACGTTTTAGTATTGTATTATATTCTTTATGCCTGTAGCTTTCTTGTGATATACTATTATTCATTAAGATCAGGATACCATAGAAAAATTGTATAAAAAGTCAAAATTTAACAATTTTTAAAATGCTGTATAAACGTAACTACTGAATTAATGTAAGAGTTTTTGGTATCAACATTTTTCTTTAAAACTTATCTATATAATGGCTATCTTTAAATCTTAAAAAAAATGTTTATAAAAAAATTAATTTTTAAAATATTTTTTGTAATTGCAAAAAATAGCATAAGCATATTTTTAATACAGTTTGATATTGTAAAAATTGATTAAAAAGTACAAAAAAAAGTATAAAATGTTATGTAAATCATTAGTTATATAAGTTTATTAGATAGTTAATTAGATCTCTTCCATTCTGTATAGTTTAATAACTACAGATACACGAATATAATACAATATTAAAACGTCTAATTCTTCAACCTAAATTAATTTTACATTGATGTAAGAATAATAAAACTATGAATTTTCGTTAAAAGTTTATAAAATATATTATTAAACTGTGTTTTGTTATGTAAACTGACATTAATTTAAGTTGAAGTATTAGAAGTCTTAGTATTACATTATATTACTAATTCTCAATTTTAATAAGTCATATAAAAGTTAGGTAACTTTAAAAGCTTGCACACTTTCAAAAATAAAAGAAATTATATATATTTTATTCAATAGATGGTTTTACTAACATTAAGACTCTTACTAAAGCTGTACAAGATTATCAGAGCATGTATATACGAGCAAAAAATCTAAAAAATGCATTTGAAATTGATAGAATTAATACAGAATTGGGACTAAGACTTGCTGCAGATAATGTAAATAACGAAAATTTGGTTCAAAGTCTAAAAGAATGCGTAGAAACATTTCATGGAAATTTAAACATTGTAGCTTAATATCTCTATGTTGTAGAATTGTATGATGTGACCGCGATGTCTATTATAATAGGAATCAAAAAAGTTTAAAAATATTAATCATATAAATATATACTATTCGTACATTATTATATTCAATTCCTATAATTTTTTTATGGCATATAATTAACAAATAATCTAATGCACAAAACCATTTAATTTTAGTTTATTTGAAAATTTAATGGTTAAAATTTTACCTAAAACTGTTCGCAAAAATCAACCTCTACATAGATGATCGATTTTTGATTGGTAAGACATTTATTTTCTCAGAAACTATTGAAAATTATAAATTGTTGCGAGTAAAAATATATTTGGTTCAAAAAACTCAACAATGATAATATGATAAGAAAAAAACGGTAGAACAGTGGTGTCTCGGCACAGTATGGACCTGACATAGTGGTACTAGTATAGATGATATCTGACAGTGATTAAAATCACTATCATAAAAAACAAATCGATAGAATTTTGTAGGTAGGATTTAATTTTTAGAAATTGGTGGATTATTCCAAACACAAAATTAACTCCTATTTCCTTAATTATATACTGATTAGTTGCTCTTTGATTTAAAAGTATAATGTATGAATAATTAATAATTATAGTAATTAAATTTAGTATGAAATTGATATTCAATAATTAAATATTATATATTTTACGGAGATATTATAAAAACAATTGTACTAGTAATATGAAGTTGGCAGCAGGCGTGAAAGATATTAAAATGTCTATGCGGTATCTATCTGTACCTGACTTGACTGTGCTTGCAACGTCTGTATTCAATTTGAATTTTGTTGAGAGAAAATTCATACAAATCGGCTGCACATGTTAAGCGACCGTTATTCTCCAATGGTAATAATAATATCTCCAAGTATGTACTTTTGGATGGATATCAATAATTTTATTAAATTTTTTAATTTAATCGATAAAGTTTTATCATTTATTGACCATTCGTGTAAATAAAAAATTTATTTGAGTGCCGTTTTTAACGTTGTAAAATCGAAATGTTTTTCAAAAAGTTATTTATCGATATCGGGTAATGGTAGTGAGGAGGAAAAAATGGGACGTATAACATTGACCGAAAAAAATCTGATAGCGTTTAAAAAAATGAAGTCATGTCTCTTGGACGTATCCAAAGGGAAATACGAAACGTGTAACTTATTGTTGATGCAGAGTACAGAAGTTTACAAAAAAGTAAAAGATATTGTATTAAACAAGTTTTTAGTATTACCCGAAAATTTAATGTATTCAATCGTGATAAGCATTGATATATCGTTATTGCCAAAGACATCAACATCGTATCGAATTCTTGTTTACGAGTGTAATTTAATTTTATACAACATTTAGAATTATGTAACATACTTAGTTACATAATTCTAATGGCGGTGGTAAGTAGTGGTGTATAATTTTAAAAAATTGATGGAATATACAAAAAGCAAAATGAACTCTTATTTCCTTATTTATATTCTGATTACAAGTTTTATGATGTATAATTGTAATATATGAATAAATATTTATTATAGCAATTAAATATAGTATGAAATTGATATTTAATAATTTAGTATTGTAATTTTTAAGGAGATATCACTGTTAATAGTAATTAAATAATTCTCTGGTCACAAATGAATCTAAAAAATAGGACTTTCTATTCCACGTAAAACTTTCTATTTAATGATATAAATTCTAAACTTGCAAGTTGAATTAAAATTGTTTTTAAAAGTTCAATATTTTAACTTTCATAAAAATCAACTTTAAAGTATCAAAAAAATAAGTTAAAAATGTCATTTTGAATTGAAATTTTGCACAGATAATTTTTAACATATTAAAAATAAATAATAACATGATATAAAAATTTTTAAATTAATATTTTCAAGTGTTTCTAATTAGTAATAATCTCAAAAAAGGAGTAAAGTAAATTTAAATGAGATCAAAATCAAACGATCTTATACACTGTCCTATTACAGTACATGAAATTTATCAAAAATTATCACGTGATATTCAACACTGCATATTATTTAATCCAGAAAAATTGGCGTTTTGTTATTTGATCTGTAACAAACAGGCGGCTGCTCGGGTTCGGACAGTCTGTTGCCGCCGCTACTGACTGTTCGTTGGAGTTTTCCTGATACTTGCAGGGAGCCTTACATTTGGCAGCCTTTTCTCCATAAGTGCTATGATACCAACACCATCCTTTGCCGTTAGTCAGTTCCACGTTTGAACGGTTACGTGACCTAGAGCGGGAACGTTGCGGGCGTTTAGCACATAATTCGCTTACCTGTTTTGTGAGTGCTTCAATGGCAGCTAAAACATCGAGTTCCTTTTTATTGTTCGTCGTGGCAACAGCATGGACGAATTACGAGGGGGCTGGCTGCACTTCAACAATTTTGTCAGCCAGCTCGGCTACCTTATCCAGAGGAAGCTCTGATTGTACGGTTAAAATAGCTTGTGCGTGTGATGGTAGACGGCGGAGCCAAAGTTGACGTAAAATATTGTCTTGTAATGTAGTAGTGCCGGCAAGGGAACGGAGATGTCGTAAGAACTGTGATGGCTTACGGTCACCTAGTTCTTCTTCATTGATGAGTTGCCGCACACGTTGTTCTTCTGAGATAGACAACCGTTCAACAAGTTTTGCGCGTAGATGTTTGTAGCGTTCAGTAGGCGGTGGGTTAGTAATAATATCCTCTACTTCGGCGGCGTAACGCGTATCAAGCTGAGCCACAACATAACGTATAATTGAAAGAAATCGGTTCGGTGAGAGCTGAGAAAAAGTGATAATAGACACAAAAAAATAAAAAAATAAAAAAAAACAAATCTTAGTAAAACCAATACCTTCTCAGCTTCGCATCGAAACTAAAATACGATTTTTGTAAAAATATTATTTTTTATATTTTTAACTTTATAATGCTATAACTTTTTGAAAAGTGTACGAATCAACACAATTTTTTTATGAGAAATAATATTTTTTAATAATCCCTTTTTCATTCGACATACTTTATCTTAATCAGGGTATTAATAAGAAACTAGCAGATAATGTAGCTTTTGTAATTATCCACCAATTTCTTAGAATTAAACACTATCTACNCAGATCATGTAAATTTTGGAATAATACACCAATTTTTTAAAAATAAACACAAATTTTGAACTTGTAAGATTCATAGAATGGGATACTGTCTAAGGATGAGTGGAGGGAGCTCCCCCACAAGCTTTTCATGGTAAACAAATTATGGAAATTGATACAAGGGCCCAAAATTGTTGGCCAATAAACATTTTCTGGCTACGTGCCTGGCCAAAACAGTAACAGCACCACATACACTACGATTCAAAGGATTTTTACATCGATCGCGCACGTAATCATCCAACGCAATGAATCGCTCACACAACCGGTGGTGGTAGTGCGAGAGACGTTATCAGTCATAGAAATACGATGTAGCAAAACGCCCTCTTGTAATGCGTACCCAACAGATATGTTTTAATGGATATAAATTTTTGGTCTTGGGATGACTCAATTTTTTAAAATTTTTTCATTACATCCGAAAGAGTAAACTCACAATTATTTCGAGATGACGACGACAAAGATTTTTTCAATGGTGTACCTGTTTTGGAGTTGTTTGACATTTTGATATTATTAATTATTTTATAAAAATTAATATTTTTACATAAAAATAAGACAAAAGCTCAATATTTATTCTTTAATAATGCATAGGTAAACTGTATTTTATAGCTTAAAATAAGACGCGCGGGACGTGCAGGCGACGTCTTTACTGAACTGAATTGATTAAATAATATACATAAACCACGTAAAATAATAAATATTACATTTAACTCTCTTATTATATTAATAATATAATAAGAGATTTTACTTGTATAATACTACTTATATAATAAGTACTTGTTATATAATAAGAAATTTGTTTCAATTAGAGATCTTTCTCAGCTTTTAATGGTTAAAAATCATTCATTAACAATGAGTTTCTCAGAAGTATTCATAGCTCTTTTATTATTTTTGACAATTCCTGTTACATCTGCAAGCGCGGAACGGTCATTTTCCAAGCTAAAAATAATTAAAGGATATTTAAGAAATACAATGAAACAAGATCGTTTAAGTGGCTTGGTCTTACTTTCAATCGAACAAGAAACCGCTCGAGAGGTTAACTTCGAGGATTTAATCGATACGTCTGCTGAAGCAAAAGCAAGAAAGAAAAAGTTTTGATATAACTGAACAAATTCCTTTAAATATAAATTATATATTTGTAAGATAGTAAATAGGTACTATGTTTATGTTATTTAATTCAAACAAAATGTGTAAAAAGAATTATAAGATCACTTATCATGTTTTTAATTATTTATAGGTTATTATTAAGAGTGGATCTAGAGATAAATATTGTGGATGAGTATATGTTTTTCGTATCCCCTTCCCTCAAATTTCTAAAATTAAGGGCCCGATGGATTATTTTGCCACGGGCATTAGAAGTTCTAGTTACGCCACTGACTGCCACGTAGTCTGCTGAACAAAGTACAAGTTATTATATAATGTTTGTATAAAGAATATTGTATTTTTGAAAATAAAAATAAAAAACATTTGTATTACTTATTATTAATAAATTACTAAAATTACCTCAATTTATATCTCTATGATAGAGTAAAACAAAGCAATACATAGTTAAATCTCTACGAGAAAAATATAAGTAAAATTTATGTTATAATGTATTTGAAAAATGAAATGAAATAAAAAATTGTAATTTTGCAAACGTATTGTCAACGAAGAAAAGATTAATTTCACTTTTTTATTAGTAATAGTATAGCATGAAAGATGAGATGCAATCATGTTATATCTACACAAATTTCTTAGAAATTCTCTAATATACTATTCATATATACTCAAAAGGCGATGTAAATATTTTATATTATAATAAACGTTTGAAAATATACATTTCTTGGAAATCCTCATTAAACCAAGTGGGAGTGTATGGTGTCAAGAGATAAAATTGCTGCAATTCATAAAATTAAACACATAAAACCAAGAAAGTCAATCCTTACCGATTTAATTGTCATTTATCTGTTTACTCTTTTACTTTCAAAACATATTCGTCATGTCATTTTTATGTTCTATTTGTGGAAAAACTTTCAGCTTCATTAAAGCTCTGAATTGTCCCATCGTAAGTGTACATATAATAATAATAAATTTTATCAGTGTATTTTATGACTAAAGAATTTTTCGAGGAAAGATAACTTTAAGAGACATATGCAACAGACGCGTGCTTAAAAAGGTTAGTAAAGTGAACTATAATGTTTACATTGTAACGTCCTTCTTGTATAAATGTAAATTGTAAACATTTTAAATACAATGATTAATAAATAAAATTTAATTGCTAGCGCCGTTCAATTTGCAATGACTTACTGTGTTTACTGAAAATGAAACAGAATCGATTAATGGGATAAACATGGTTAAGTAAGAAACCAGCACTTCAAGAAATGTTTACGGAAAACGTAAGTATACATTATAATGTATATTATTTTTATGTTATATTAAATAATAATAATTATTTTAATTATTTAATTATAGTTAACGAGAGAAATAAAGTGAATTATAATGCATGTACTTTGAATAATGCTAACGATTACTGTATGTATAATTTTTACATTTATATATATATATTTTTTTTAGTGTCTATTGCAAAATCATCTCCTATGTTAATGTCAGGATTAAATAAATTGCACATTAAGGTGGTTCTTAGTCATATAGGTCAATTTTTTTTTGTTGAAATTCATTCGGGGCACCCTCTAGAATTGTTCTGTTAGGTAAAAAACTAAGTTGTACAAAATTTGGTTGAAATTGAGTGACATTTACACGTGCCGCAAGATAGTTGAAAATTTGTCTGTAAGAGTGGTTTTTCAGTTTTTTCATTTATCATACAAACTATGTTGTTTACAGAAAATATTATAAAACTTATTTTGTAGAACTATATGTTTTCCATAAAAAATATTATTATAAAAAAGTCCGTATCTATAATATTTTTATAATAATTACAGTCGCATATTGAAATGACAATATTTATATATGTATAATTTACAACTGAAATATCTAAATTCTTATATTCATTGAGTCTGTATTTAGTAATGGTTGCTTTAATTATACTGTAATAGGTGACTAACATTTTCTATTTTTGAAAACGATATATTTTTTATCCAAGTATTTGATGCGGTATTATCACAAATGCATCCATTGAAATTTATTATTTTTAAATCAAAGTTTTATCAAGTTTGATAACTGTTGTATATATTGCTGCACTTGATAGCGATTAGTATTATTGATTTTTACAGAACATACGATAATGATTGTATACTTTTTTATACAGTCCAGTGTCAACTGAGTGTTATATTGTTGTGTTTACAAAATAGAAATATCACTATATAATTATTATTTTATTATTATTTGAAAATGATTTCGAGATCAAATTTACGTTAGTCGAATTTTATATACTTGATTGGATATAGTTCAAACCAAATAGTTCGTAGCAAAGTGCCGTCCAATAGACAAATTTTTACAGTATTATTCTACAATATGAGGAAGGTAAAACTAAATTTGCGTTTAAGTGCCTCTTTGGTTGTATAATAGATCATTATATTTTGAAAAAAAGCCCGTATACCGACAATTACTGAACAACATTGTATAGAAAAAGTAGAAAAATTGTACTACGACTGCAGAAATTTACAAAAATCATAATACCGAAAAAATTGAAGCTCAATATAAAAAAAATTCTAATTTTGTTTCGAACCTTGAAAATTTATTTTATATAGCTCATGCTGATGCCTTTAATATTATAAATATTAAGGAAGACAAAGAATTGTTAATAGCTCAGCGAGAAAAGGGCGTCTTGGTTCAATGGTTGGCGTCGACAAAAAATTATAAAATATTTTAACTAATATTGATAATAAAAATCTAGCAAATGATCGTAGAAGAGCTTGTGCTAGTAAATAAATTGAAGCTATTAAAACATTAGTATTATTGTTATTTAAAACATTAAATAACAAGTGAATTACTATAAAATTTATTGATTCTTTAAATTTTATACCATCATCATTAGAAAAATTAGCTGAAACTTTGACCCTTGACCAGTTAAATTAACTAGAGTAATGTATTCTGATGATGAAAAATTTAAGTTGATTTGTCGTAAGTGTGTACTTCCATACTCGTATGTAACTGATATAAATGTACTGAATAAATGCACCTTACCTCCAAAATCCGTCTTTTGTAGTTTATTGAATACGAGTGAAGTAACAGACGAGGATTATCTCCATGCAAAATAATTTTGGGATAAATTTTGGGGTATTATTTTGATTTATATTTAAGAACTGATGTTTCTCTTTTAGCTGATATTTTTTGAAAATTTTCGAAGTATTTGTTTAAAAAATTATGGACTTGATCTTGTCATTTTATAACTTCACCCGGATTAAGTTTCGAAGATATGAAGCAAATTACCGGGGTAAAATTGGAATTGATGAATGACATTGAAATTATTAGCTTTATTAATAATGGGATTCGAGATGGAGTAATCTCAATGTTCATTTAATTATAGTAAAGCTTATAATAAATATAGCGATGACTATGATTTGTCAAAACCATCGACATATTTATTACACCTCGATGTAAAAAATCTGTATAGAGCTGCACTAAGTCAGCATCATCCATAAGGAAATTTTAAATGAATGACACAATCTGAAACTAATGATTTAGAAACATCAAATATTGTGGATGATAATAATTGGGGGGCCACTTTAGATATAGATCTAGAATACGGTGAGAATTTACACAACGATCATTTTGACTTACCCTTATGCTCGGAGATTATTATACCCCCTGGATCTAAATTCAAAAAATTAATTCCAAATTTATATGATAAAAAAATTATATCGCTCACTATCGAATATTGAAACAGGCCACGAGTCTTGGGGTTAATATAAAAAAAAATTAATAAAGTCGGCTTGGATGAATAATTACCTACATCTATATATTATATAGATTTAAATACTAAAAACATACAGGAGCAAAGTCGACTTTTGAAATTGAATTTTTTTAATTGATGATAAATTGTATATACGAATAATGCTTAGAGAATCCTGAAATAGAGTCGATGTAAAAATTATAATAAAATGGGAAAATATTGGAAAAAGTTATGGGGCTAGTGTGCTAATAGCGAAACCCAACTTCGATGGTGTGTCAACATTTAACAGTAACATGACAGCCATCTATTTAAAAAAAGTGGATATCGTATATGATAGACCTTGATATGTAAGGTTTTTAGTGTTAGATATTTCAAAGACTATCATATACGATTTTCACTATAATTTCATGAAAAAAAATATATGGTGATAAATGCAAATTAGTATATACAGATACTCTTTGTGTTATGAAATACAAGTGGTAGATGAGTATAATGATATGAAAAAAAACCCAGCACAGTGGCGTCGTGGCATAGTTTGGTCCAGTATAGATGATATCTTACAGTGATTAAAATCACTATCATAAAAAACGCTTCGATGCAAATCTGTAGATAGTGTTTAATTTAAAAAAAAAAATTGTCAAAAAAGTAGGTCAAATGAGAGCTGAGAAAATAAATGATAGCTACAAAAAAAAAACCACATAGTAAAATAATATTAATATGATTTTTTTCTCACGAGAGGAGACTACAGTAATGAAATCCTTGATATCTATTGAAGTTATTGAATCTAAATGAGATCAAAATCAAATGAGTTAAACGTTTTTTTTAACTCAAAAAGAATTAAAAAAAAATTCAGTGCCACAGTCGTGAAAGATCCAAGTGTTACCGTCTCAAAAACCGTTCGTCTCAATTGTCACTTAATAAAAATGGAAATTTAGCTAGTTCAAATTTTAAAATTATTTTTCTCGACTTCAAAGAAACAAAAAAATTTAAATATGCTTAATTTTTTATACTATGTCATTTAGATCGATATAATATTTATGAAAATCAGTGTAATCCCCTTATAATAAAATAAAATACAAAACCAAGAATTTTAACACAATAATAGCATATTTTTGAATACGTTAGCCATTTTCGCATAGAAGATAGGTCGTCGGGACAAATTTTTTTTTTTCATATTATAGTACATAAAATAAGCTTTAATTTGATATATGTTTAAAGAACGCAGTATTTCCGGAACTTTTTCAAAAATTAAGTTGAAAAAGTTAGTTTTTGTAAAAAAGTTACTATTTTTAAAGAGTGTCTGAGAAACGGCTGCCACATCCAAGGAAAGCAGCAGGCGCGTAATTTACCCACTCCCGGAACATGGAGGTAGTGACGAAAAATGACTATATGGAAATAATCCCTCGTAATCGGAATGAATGAGTTCTATATCTCTAAATAAGAATAAAGTGTGTTAATATATATTTTTAATAGTAATTAGAATATATATTTATATATATACATGTAAAGTGACTTAAGTACGTAAACGTAACATGCACTAGGTATAGCTGTGTTTTGTGGGCTTGTGGGTCGGACTAACGTAATACCTGAGGTATAAACGGCGGTAGGAATATATACGTAAGCCGTATGGTACGCGGATGGTATTGGTCAGTCAAAATAAAAATTNGGGTGCTTTGTGTCATTTTTCGTATATTGAGCGCCCGACACTTTTATCACAATAATACTAGTATTTTTTGTTAATAATTATTTTAAACTTATTTTAAAAATTATTTTTAACTTTTTAGTTCGATGTGCTTTAAAAGCGTGTTTTTTTAGTTTTTTACACTATATTTATTTTTTACTTTTTAGTTTCATGTTATTATAGTAGTTACTATCAATATCATGGTTGTTACGGGTAACGGGAAATCAGGGTTCGATTCCGGGGAGGGAGTCTGAGAAACGGCTACCACATCCAAGGAAAGCAGCAGGCGCGTAACGTGGAGTTAGTGATGAAAAATGACGATACGAGAATCATCCCCCGTAATCGGAATCAATACACTACATATCTCTTAATGAGAATAAAGTGTATTAATATATAAGTTTTAATAGTAATTAGAATTTATTTATATATACATTTAAAGGGACTTAAGTACGTAAACGTATCATGCATGAGGTATAGCCGTGTTTTGTAGGCGGGCTTAGCGGGGGAAACATTATACACGAGGCATATACGGCGGCAGAGAAGTCGGCTGTAGGAATATATAAATGAATATTAACATATAAGTATATACGTATAAATATTAATATATATATATATATTAATATTAGCGGTGGCGGTAGGAATATATGATCTTCGCATAATTTCGCGGCACTGTCGCTGGCGTCGACAACGCGATGTCCGGCGTAATCCTCGGGCGTCAAAAGGTTAGCAGCGTAGATGACAACAGTGCGCGAGTACGGATCGGTTTGTTGACGTTGTTACTTTAACAACGAGATGAAGACTACGGTATCATTGACGGCGGGACGTCGTCGGCTGTGCGGCACTTGCTGGACTTTGCACCGAGGCGTAAAACGACGCGGGGCTGTGTCAATTACAATAAAAATTTGTTATATATATATATATATAATTGATGACACGCGCGCGTCTACGGGTTGGAAAATATTGTTGTCTACGAGTGGTGAGCGGGGTGGGGCGAATGCGTTACAACAATTTAGTATCAAGGTCATACACGACGGGATACGCGACATAATAACACGTGCCGCGTGGAGTTACAAACTTACAAACAACAACATACACGTGAAACTAATATAAGCGTGTTAAAAAAGATTTAATTTGATATATGTTTAAAGGACGCAGTATTTCCGGAACATTTTCAAAAA